CTAAAGGCTCAATGGCTAATGCAAATAGAACAGGGCTGAGTGGGCATCCTTGTCTCGTTGAACGATAAAGGCGGAAGTAATCAGAATAAGTAGTGTTAGTTCTAACCGAGGCTAGTGGATTGGAGTAAAGTAGTCTAATCCAAGATAAAAAGGTGCCTCCTAAACCAAATTTTTTGACTGTATAAAACAAATGAGGCCATTCCACGCGATCAAAAGCCTTTTCGGCATCTAACGAAATGAGTGCTTCTTGTGAGTTGCTTGGTGAGGTATCATAGATTATATTGAATAGTCTCCTAAGATTAGAAAAAGAATGTCTATTTCGAATAAAACCTGTTTGGTCCGGATTAACAATAGTGGGTAAATGAGATTCAAGGCGTGTAGCCAGAACCTTGGATAACAGTTTAAAATCTACATTTAAAAGGCTTATGGGGCGGTAAGACGAACAGTTAAGGGGGTCCTTTCCCTTCTTCAAAAGAACTGAGATTGTGGCCTGATTAAGTGTTTGGGGTAAAACTCCGGAATTAAATGATTCATTATACATGTCCAATAGCAAAGGGGCAATTTTATCTTTGAATGTTTTATAAAACTCCGACGGATAGCCATCGGGGCCCGGACATTTCCCACCCTGAAGAGACTGTATGGCAGAATGAAGTTCAGCGAGAGCAATTGTTTTGCCCAAATTAGTAGCGGTTTCCTGAGTGAGCATGGGAATAGTTAAACCTGAGAAAAAAGTTTCAAAATCGTCATCTGTAGGAGTGCATTCAGATGTATATAGTGAGTTGTAAAATGTTTTAAAGGTCGCATTAATTTCCGAAGAATCAGCTGTTACACTCTGAGCTGCTTGGATTTTAGTTATTTGGCGAGAGGCAGATACCTGTCGGATTTGGTGTGCCAGCAATTTACCAGCCTTATCACCATGCTCAAAAAAATGAGCACCTGATTGAAGAATAAGTTCAATAGTACGGTAAGTCATAATTGTGTCAAATTCTGATTGTAATGAAACACGATCCTTATACAAATTCGGAGAGGGTGATAGTGAATATATATTGTCGAGTTGTGAGATCTGCTCTCTCAAACTACGTAGCTTTTCTTGTCTCACTTTATTCTCATGGTGTATATATGACAATTTCTCCCCTCATATATGCTTTAAACAACTCCCAAAGGAGAGAGGCAGACACCCCTGGGGTTCTATTGGTGCTCTGAAAAAAGTCAATTTGTAACCAAATTTTTGTCCGACAGTAAGCGCACATTTAATCGCCACCGTGGACGTTCAGTTGACATCATGCTCAGTTTGACGTCCATTACTAGTGGTGCATGATCAGAGAGAACAATAGCATCATAACGACATGAAGTTATAGATGAAAGTAATCGATTATCAACCAGAAATAAATCAATGCGAGTAAATGTACGATGCACGGACGAAAAAAAATAATATTCTCTTTTAGAAGGATTAAAAAAACGCCATGAGTCAGTTACAGAGAATTCGTCCATAAAGGACCGGATCACTTTTGCCGAACGTGAAATGACAGCTGGTTTTGCTGAGGAGCGGTCTAAATTAGGATCGAGCCAACAGTTAAAGTCTCCACCCAATATCAGATAATGCGTAGACATATTAAAGAAGGATTCGTCGTCTGTGTTTGGCGCGTAAATATTAACTAATGCAATACGACGGCCCAAAATTGTCCCAGTGACAATAATGTACCTACCATTAACATCAGAAATAACCTGGTCCGAAACAAAGGGAACAGATTTATGTAAGAGAATAGCCGTGCCCCTGGCCTTACCAGAAAAAGAGGAATGAAATATCTGACCCACCCAGCTCCTCTTCAGTTTCAGATGATCTTCATTCCGAAGATGAGTTTCCTGCAAGAAAGTAACCCGAGCTCCAAGTTGCTGAAGATGATGAAGCACTTTATTGCGTTTAATGGGGTTATTAAGTCCCTTGCAATTAAAGCTTGTGAACCGGAGGTCCTGTCCTATTGAAGACAGCATAGCATCTTAGATTTAAACCGTAGGGTTGTATGAGGGCTAACTTGGACAATTGGTCGACAATATAAAACAAAAAGAGAGGTTGGCGTGCAAAAACAAAACAAAATGAAACAAAAACATGAAACATCAGAACTCTCGCAGAAGCATCCCCCCAAACGGGATGCGCGATGCCCACTCCACCCCAAAACACCCATAACCTAGCCTGCAAAGGGCCCTGGAGGAAGATTCAACTATAAACCCCTCCAAATGGAATGTGAAATATAATTTTTAAAATTAGAACACACCTTGTTAGTAAAAAAAAAAAAAGATTGACACCTTGGTATAAAAATACAATAAAATACATAAAGTATATTAAAAAAAAAATAAAAAAAAGAATACAAATAAGACACATTAAAGTACAATCTAAAGAAATATTAGCAATAAAAAAAAAATAAAAAAAATAAATCAGACCAAAAAAATATAAGAAAGGCAATAATCTACACACAAAATAATGCGGTGGCTAATGATCACACAAAAAATAATAAATAAAATAAACAAAAAATATATAATAATAAAGTAAAATAATAAAAAAAGTTATCAATCAATCAAGAAAAATCTAAAATTCCCTGTCAGGATAACAATATCTCCTAATACAAATACAGATATTAGTAAGCATGAAATGGTGCTGGACATATCAAGTAAGTGGACCTGCCAAAGAGCAACATAATAATGCCAGTACAACAACGAGAACACTCAAATTATAGTATGTTGTCATAATGTCAGAGCAAAATGTTTACTTCAACCGGTAGGTTACCTAACTTCAAACAGACTCCGGGATCACCACAGTTTTTAAACGTTTCAGCAAAGTCCATAGCCAATGTCGGGTCTTCAAATTTGTGAGTTTGTCCGCTCGGAGGAGTAATATGCAGTCTCGCTGGATAAAAAAGTCCAAACTTCACACCAGGACACGAGTGAAGCTCCTTCTTGACTTTGGCAAAAGCAGCTCGCTTCTTGGCCACAGAAGTAGTGAAATCCGGGAAGATTGAAACCCTCTTTCCTTAGTAAAATAAGGGTCCAGATGATCCAGCTTTTTGTAGGATTACGCAGCGTTGTTGAAACATATTCACTCTCACAACAAACGGGCGAGGAAGCTCCCCGTTCTTTGGTTTAGGGCGGAGGGTACGGTGGGCTAACCTGGCAAGAGCCAGATTGATGATTGTGTAGAACCAGTGCCGGCGTGGCTAATCGGGAGAGCCGGGAGGTTTCCCGGTGGGCCGGTTGGGCTAAGGGCCGGTGGGCTGGATGTTGTTGGTTCGGACTTGGCCGGCGGCCGTGCTTTCCTGACACCGCAGCCTTATCGGACCTCTCTGGCTGAAGCAGCCAAATGTGCAAAGTTGGTAGTTTTTTTCTATAAAAAGTGCTCCGCCGATGAAGAGGCATCAGACCGCGGTAAGCTAGCAAAAAAAACATGCAAAACACTGTGGCAAAACATGACGACGTGATTCCCTAAATGATTAGCACTCCGTCATTACATTTATTGCTTCTTGGGTCCTCAGATACAACAATCGTTCATTCATATTAATGAAGAGCCTCAGGAATGGGCAGGTAAAAACCAAAAAGATTGTATTTTTAATCAAATTTGACTAAGCCACTAAGGCCATGAATTTATTTATTTCATAATGTTTAATGTATATTGCATAAATTACATTTTTTACTTCTTTGTACATTAGGAAAGTAACAGTTGAATATTTTGTGTGTTTGTCAAAAGATGTGGAGCATTTATGCTCATATCTACAGAAAAGACATCCTTTGTCATTGGATAATGACAATTATCATAAACAAAGTTGCATAAACAAGTGCACTTCTACAGAGTTTACTCATGTTTTAATGTGCTTCATTTTGCTATTGTTAATTTGGGTTTGATTGATTTAAATAGTGTGCAGTTTGCGTTTTCTCGTCTTGATAGAGGTTAACATTTAGTTTGCTTTTAGTTCTTCCCTGGGACAACATTCAAGTACGTTAAGATTAATTTTGGTTTTGTATAAAGTTGTAGCAAGCACTGTTTTGTCTTAGTGTTGTATTTGCATTAGTCTTTGTTTTTGTTTAGTCTTGAAAGGAGGATGATAGTTTAATGGTTTCGAGTCAATTCAATGTATTATTAAAAAAATATAGCCAAATCTTTGTGAATGACAATTATTTGAATGAAAATTGACATTGTTCTAAAATTTGTGAAATTCATGCTTTTTATATCCACATAAGTCTAGGGTCAGTCTAAAATTTGCTACAATTCATATTGTGATACCAGAATATTCAAATATCATGATTTATTCAAATGCATTATTGAGTTATTTTGTGACTAGCACTGAGAAGTCTAAAGGAGTGAACGAAGAATAATTTTAATACCATTAGTCTTGTAATTTATAAAACTTGATTTCAGGCCACCTGCTGGTTGTTATGAATATTACAACAGCAGGCAGTTCAGTTTTTTTTTTTGATAGAAGGGCCGGTCTGACCCAGAATTCCCGGGCCAAAAAATTGTCCCACTCCGGCCCTGTGTAGAACTCTAACGCGTTCTCCGCAATCTGGGATTTCTCACGGAGAATCCTTTCGGGGAAAGGAGGGATAAGCAGCAGAATACTTGAAGCTGATTGGGCGAAGTGACGCTGTGTGCCCGCCTACCAAGGTTTGACTTACGTAGGTAAAAATGCACAAACATCTTTGCCGTCCAGAAATGCACAAAGCGCCTCTCGCTGTTCATCTTTCAAAAAAGAAATTGGAGATTCTGCTAAAACTGACTTGATAGCCTCAGCTACGCGTCCGTCCTCCTGCGTAGCCATGTTTGTTTTGCTTCGGCCCGGCACTTCTTGCTTTCGTCAAACCCGGATATCCCGCCCTAAACCCCCAGACTGGCGCGTGATTGGCTCGCACACCCAGTGGTTCGACTCGAAAAGTGTAAGCGGGAGCGGTACAAGATGTATTCTCGAGTGTTTGTGAACTCACAAATACCGCGAGAATTCAGCTTGCAGGCAAGGTTAACGGTGGGCACGATCCAACACTGGTTCCCCGTCCAAGCCGAGCAAGCCCTGGAGCAGTTTGGCCACAAACACAGTTGGACGGGAGTCCTCGGAGCCTTCCGGGACACCCACCACGCGAATATTATTCAATCTCGACCTTCCTTCCAAATCCTCACACTTCTGCGTCAGGGAACCAACACGCTCAGTCAGCGACGCTACCGTAGCATTTAGGCTAGTTAGCTGAGCATCGTGGTCAGTAGCAGTATCCTCGAGGTTCGCAATGGTTTGATCGTGCGCAATAATCTTTCTTTGCAAGGGCTCACAGACAGCAGATATTTCCTTTCTTATTGCCCCAGATACAATCTGTTCAAACTGACTTACAATGTCCGTGCGCAAAGTCTCCATCATTACCTCCATGCGTATTAGCAGCCGCTCGTTAGCATTATTAGCATCCTGCTCGGAAACGGCTCCAGGCTCAGGCGAGCCCTCAGGCTGCGTGAGGCCCACCTTAGCTGCATCGGTCTTTGCTCTGGTGTACATGATTGTCTGAAGGTTCACTGCTGATTCAAGAGTCGACTGACAGTAATTGTTATCAGCAACAAGTGGTGTCCAAAAAAAAAGTTTAAATAAAAGGTGTCAAAATACATTTAGAATCACATTCTAGCGGAGCGTCTGTAGATACGTCTTACATGCTGCGCACTCCACCATAGTTGAATTTTTGTTATTGACCAAATACTTATTTTCCACCATAATATACAAATAAATTCTTTAAAAATCCTACAATGTGAATTCCTGGATTTTTTTTTTGACATTCTGTCTCTCACAGTTGAAGTGTACCTATGATGAAAATTACAGACCTCATTATTTTAAGTGGGAGAACTTGCACAATCGGTGGCTGACTAAATACTTTTTTGCCCCACTGTATGTATACTTATAACAATGATCTGACAAACAATAACTACCTGCGCTTTGCGATGGGTGAGGAGCACACAGACCAAGAAGTGCATGAGGTCAGAGGACATGTGATACCATGACAGCACTTTAATTGAGCGACAGCTAAATTGAGTGGCCAATGGGTATGCAATGAAAGTAGCAGAGCCCGCTTGCAGGTCATGCTGCCACACCTGTATCTATAATATTATAGAAAGGGTCATAATGAGCCCGGACCATAGGCGTGCAGACAGGACTGTCCCCAGCTTGTTGCAAGTGCGGGTCTCCTAAATTTTCCCTTGCATGTTGGTTGTGCAAAATAGTAAAATGTTGTGAATAAATCAAAACAAACACACTCCAACAGGAAATCTTGTATTTTATTTTGTATACTTAAGAGCCTTGTGAGTCACTACTTTTTGGGCTAAGAGTGGATTTTTAATATTTTTGTTTCCGCACAGTTAGTGCCACTTTATTACCATGCGCTTATTACCGAGTTACTCAGTGTATTGAGAAATATTTGGGCAAGTAACTTTTGACATTGGGCAAGTGAAATATAAATGGTACTTGCCCAAAGAGCAAGTGGCTGACAAAGCGTAATGTGAAGGGGCCTGGAAAAATTTGAAATAATAAATGTAACCTTCATGATGAGATACTACTGGTTATATGTTGGAGTATAGACACGGCACATAAGAAGCACACTGTATCAAAATAAATCACATCCTCTCAAAAAAAATCTGCTAAATATTAAATTGCATAATAATAATAAAAAAATAAACAATATTACTCATTCAAACCATATGTAAAAATGTTTAAAGACCTTATGCAGGGTTTGATTGATTTAGAAATACAGTTTTAATACCATTTTATATTGGAGGAGAACTACTAAAGGTTTCAAAATCAATTGGGTTTTTTTGTCTGATCCCCCCAAATTGAGAAAAGAACATAGCAACGCCCTCAGAAACGAACACAATTCACAGCACAATTCACAGCCTCTTCTCCCTTGGTGACGTCAGAGCAGGTACGATTTAACCGGCTGTGAGTTGATTACAATTTGGTATTTGGTCTTTTTTTGCGGATATTCAAGATGACAAGGCGGTGTACAGCAAATATAACACCACTACCAGTATTTATGTCCACATTTGCGCTGTGATAGTCCAGTGGATATGTCATTGTGCTAACATCCAAACTGGTGTTCAAATCTCATCTCAATCACATTTTCACTCTCAAAACAGCAATTTATCTGTAATAAGCAATTGACACCTGTAGAGTGCAGTATTGTGTCGGACATCAGTGGAGAGAGGAGAGGTGACTGTGGCATAGATCCATGGCTTTCAATGATCCATGGCTTTCAATGCATGAGCGTTACCCTTAAATTAACTTAAATTAATTAAAAACACATTCTTTTTACCGGAATCTATTTCAGATTGACAATTTTGCAATTTTGATATCCACAATAATAAAAATAAAACAAACCTGCATAAGGGTTTAAATGTATCTTTAGACACAAAGTAAAAGATCAAAACTAACTTGTAGATTTATCATAAACACATAAACAATGACCATCATGACAACTATAAACGTTACATAATCAGAAATCAGAGTGCGCTTCATGTGAGTTGCCAGTTTCATTGATGAGAGCCAGTGTGTTTGGTCTATAAACCTCAGCACCTGCAGCACATGGCACAGCCTCAGCAGCTCCGTTGGTTTGTTCAACATGGTGCGTCTTTAGACCAGGTTCTTTACAAACTTTAAGATGATACTGAAGACCCGACGCATAGCGAAAAGACTTCTCACACATTTCACACACAAATGGTTTCTCTCCAGTGTGGCTCCTCTTATGTGATACTAAGTTGCTTAACTGTGAAAATGCCTTCTTACACAGGTCACACTCATACGGCTTCTCTCCGGTGTGGCTCCGGAGGTGAAGTGTGCGATCTGATGCAGTTCTAAAAGTTTTACTGCAATGGTCACATGCAAAGGGCTTTTCCCCAGTGTGGATTCTCTGGTGACTTTTGTAGTTTGAAGATGAAGCAAAACTCTTCCCACAGTCTCCACATACGAATGGCTTTTCTCCTGTGTGGATTCGGTAATGGACGGTGAAGTTATTTAACTGAGTAAAAGTCTTTTCACACTGGTCACACTGGTGAAGTTTCTCACCTGTGTGGCCACGCTGATGTAGTGTGAGCAGCCCTTTGGTTGTAAATGTTTTTCCGCACTCGTCACACTCAAATGGTTTCTCTCCAATATGAAGCCTCACATGATTTTTGAGATGGCACTCTTTTCTAAAGCTCTGACCACAAAAGTCACAGCTGAAGGGCTTTTCTCCAGTGTGGATTCTGCTGTGGACTTTGAGACTTTCTGCTTGAGTAAAACCCGTTCCACACAGATCACATACATATGGTTTTTCTCTGGTGTGAGTTCTGTAGTGGATCTTGAGGTCAGAAGCATAGCGCCAAGTCTTTCCACACTGATCACAGGTGAACCCCATTCTGTAGATTGACTTTGTAGATCTGTCACAAACATAAAAAGACGACATCAGATAATACTGTTCATCTTTCATACACCCTAGACAAAGGTAGTGGATGGGCATGCATGAAAGTGGCTGCATAAAAATACCTGCTAAGGGATGTTGTCCCATGCCGGTTTGAAAGTTAAAACTTGGGGACATTTTTTTTCATTGATTCATTTTCGATTTTTTGCACGCTACTTAGAATTGGATGTGCGCCTCAATCTCACTCAGGCACGGAAGGTTACCCAGGTTAAACCAACACATGTTAAGGCCTGTCTTAAGTTTGCCAATGACAATTTGGATAATCCAGAGGAGCCATGGGAGCAAGTTTTGTGGTCAGATGTGACCAAAATTGACCTTTTTGGTCATAATTCCACTATGCGTATTTGGAGGAAGAAGAATGCTGCGTACCATCCCAAGAACACCATCCCTAGCATGATTTGGGTTTTTTTTTTCTGCTCATATTTAATAATATGAAAAAACGTATGGCGCACCTCCGTGAAGACATACTAGTGTTATATAAAGCCCGTGGAATGTCTGAACAAATACACGCGGCAAAGCTGCATATTGGAGAAGATCTGTACACAAGAAGCCGCTAGCATAGCTCTGTTAGCATTAGAGCCGGCCGGCTGCTTCCGGTACTTCCGGCTCGCGTCAGGACGTTCTGGTGTTAAGACCCCTGCGTCTGAAAACTAGAGAATGCGCGTCTGGTGAGCGGGGCTTCCGCGTTTCAGCGTTGGAGGTGTGAAAGCCCCATAAGTCAGATCATTAAAGAGGAGTCGTGGCTGGATCTTCCAACATGACAATGACCCAAAGTAACCTTGCCTGCAAGCTGAATTCTCGCGGTATTTGTGAGTTCACAAACACTCGAGAATACATCTTGCCCCGCTCCCGCCAACCCTTTTCGAGTAGAACATCTAGGTGTTCAAGCCAATCACGCGCCAATCTGGGGGTTTAGGGCGGGATATCCGGGTTTGACGAAAGCAAGAAGTGCCGGGCCGAAGCAAAACAAACATGGCTACGCAGGAGGACGGACGCGTAGCTGAGGCTATCAAGTCAGTTTTAGCAGAATCTCCAATTTCTTTTTTGAAAGATGAACAGCGAGAGGCGCTTTGTGCATTTCTGGACGGCAACCTTGGTAGGCGGGCACACAGCGTCACTTTGCCCTATCAGCTTGAAGTATTCTGTTGCTTATCCCTCCTTTCCCCGAAAGGATTCTCCTGCAGAAGTCCCAGATTGATATTGTGGAGAACGCATTAAGTTCTACACAATCATCAATCTGGCTCTTGCCAGGTTAGACCCAAAGCACACAGCCAGGAAAACCAAGGAGTGGCTTCGTAATCGATTCGATTATCGATATGCATTTGCCAAGTATCGAAATCGATTTCGAAAAAAAAAAAATTTGGAATCAATACTGCATATATTGCTACATTACGCATCTCCATTCCATTTATCATGAAATAAAGTGTATTTTTTTCTTTTATTTATGCCATAAATTGGCATATTGTATATTTCTGACCAATATATCAATAATCGTCATATCGTGACGGGCAGAGTTTGCGGCACTGAAGTGTAGATTTAAGGATTTAAGAAGAAAAAAGTTCTGGATGACACTAAAATCCACCCAAAATCCGATCTTTATGAAAGCTCTAAGTTCTCGGTCAGCTGAGGTCGCGCTGTTTTAGTTTAAATTGCTGTCGTCCGCTTTGACAACAGCTCAGCAAACGCGCAGCCGTAACGTAGACATCATATTGTAAAGAGCATGGACCATAGACCCACATACAGGGCCTTGAACTCATTGTATTGAGAAATAATTGTGAGTATGTAGCTTAGCCACAAATGTTTAAATGTGTACTTGTTTATATTTTGGCTTAGTGTGACATATGTCTGTACTCAAGCAAAGGAAGTAATTATATATATTAAAAAAAATGGATGGACGGACAGACACATTCTATCATCAAATGCAGATGAACATGAGGCTCAGTATGTGTCTCTTTGTAAATGTGCAATTTATGACAAGATGTGGTCTCTCCCGTTTCACTCTGGTCTATTTTGGAGTGAATGTTACCTTACAATTTGAATTCCTTTTGAGTTATTAATGGTACAACAACAGAAAGACACACACATACACAGAGAGAGGGACACATCCAGAGAGCGAGAGCGAGATAGAGAGCGATCCATGTGCACGGGGGTTGCCTTGTGAATTAACCCTAGAGCTGCTCCTCACATTCTCGTTAAGTCAGGAAGACAGCGTGTTACAGCACTATTATTAGAATAAATTGTAACCCGCACAACCACAGTCTAAAGAGCTGGTGAACCACAACATATAAGGGTTCAAGTATTAATTCACAGAAAATTCGTGTTTGTGGTGAATAAATGAAGAGTCAAGCCTTCTACTTACGTCACGACCTGTTCGCGACTGTTGGAGTGAACTGTGATGGTCAGGCTTTAAGTTACAGCTTGTTCTAATACTCTTCAGACTGTTGGCCTGCGTTCATAAAGCCCCCCTTGAATGTGGGACTGGGCTTCAATACGAACAGGAGAACCGCAAGAGACACGGCTGCTGAGCTAAGCTAACGCTACAAGACATATCACCCATTGCGCATGTGCAGAAATTGAATACGGCAGCTGTGATGGGTCATATGCACACAGAGAATACTCCCGCTGTGTTGTGCCGCCAGGGTGCCGCTCCATCGCGTTGGGGAATGAAAAAAAGTAGAGAACCGTCTTGAGTCCAGTGAGTGTATTCAATTAACCTAAATTCCCGTTCCACCAGCCGGACTGCAGTGATCTTCAACCAGTGAGCCGTGGCCAGTGGTTGGTTGTATCTTTGTTGGTAATCAGAATCAGAATCATTTTTATTGCCACGTAAGTAACAGGAAGTCACAGACTTGGAAAAAAGAAGTAAAGAATAGAGAATAGAGTAATGCATAATAAAAATCAGTATAAACTTCTAAGGTATGAAAGTTAAAATATCATTAATACGATTACAATTACAATATACAAGTGCATATGGTGCACACAATATGCAGTAAGCATAACTGCTTACCCCACAAGCAGTAAAGTAATGTTTTCATGGGCATAAGGGACAGTAAGGTGACTTTATAAGGGGCCGTGAGATGACTTATAAAGGGCAGGGGACAGGTTATGAGTGTTCAAGAGTCCAACAGCAGAGGGGAAGAAACAGTTCTTATGGCGGGAGGTTCTAGTCCTGATGGGCCGTATTCTCCTGTCCGAGGGGAGAGGTTGGAACAGTCCATGTGCAGGGTGGGAGAGGTCAGCAGTGATACGACCAGCCCGGCCTCGAGCTCGGGCGACAAACAGGTCCTGCAGCGATGGAAGGCTGCGGACGATCACCTTCTCTGCAGAGCTCACGATGCGCTGTAGTCTCTGCTTATCCTTGACTGTGGCTCGAGTGTAGAACTGCACCAGCATTTGTGCAGGCAGCTTGGCTTTCCTGAGGAAGTACATCCTCTGCTGGGCCTTCTTGATGAGGGAGCTGATGGTCGGCTCCTACTTGAGGTCCTGGGTGATGGTGGTGCCCAGGAAACAAAATGACTCCACCGAGGTGATGGGGAAGTCCATCAGGGAGTGTGGGGGCGGGGGGACTGTGACTGTGTCTAAAGATCTGTTGGCTCTGTAGGCAAACTGCAGGGGATCCAGGAGGGGGAGGTAAAGGACTTGAGGTGGGGGAGGACCAGGCGCTAAAATGACTTCATGACTACAGATGTCGGAGCCACAGGTCTGTAGCTTAAGTCCAGTGATCCTGGGATCACCCATCAGGGATGGGGACAATGATGGAGGATTTGAAGCAGTGTGCACATGGCTTTAGAGGATACAAAACAAACACTCCTCTAAGGATCTGCCACAGCGCCAAAGGTTATGTTAGCTTTGATCTTCAGATAACTTAAACAAGTTGAAAATGACATTATTACGATTTACTTTTTAAATGACAGAAACAGGATATATCAGAGTAGCCTGACTCTCGCCAGACCCTTGTAGTTCCGCCATACTCCACCAGAGGCGTTTTGCTTCATACAAGGGTCTGCGATCGAGCGAATAGCAGACTCCTTCAGCAGATCAGAAAATAATTGACCAATCAGGATTGCGGGTGTTACGTTGGGTTTGCTCCGCCTTCTCAAGCGTGTCTCACGCAAGCCCCGGCGATCCAAGATGGCGCCCTATTCAAATGAATGGTTGTGCTTAGTGGCGCTTTGTGACGGCATGGGGGCTGAAAGATTAGCGGAAGTTGCCTGAACCTCGCAAAGATCTATGGGAAACTCGCAAAGATCTATGGGAAACTCGCAAAGATCTATGGGAAACTCGCCTGTATTTGGGCATCGTCTGGTCCTCCCGGTTCTGCGCAGTGGATGATCTCCCATAATGCGTTGCGCCAAACACGCGTGTGTGGGTCTCACACCGGGTCTCACGCACGTGCACAGAGAGGCTCGGCCGCGCTCTGACCAATCAGAGCAGTTCATCAGAGCGGGAGTTAGAGCGAGAGCCAGACGAGCAGAGTTTGTGGCACTAAAGTGTGGATTTAAACAAAACCGAAGGATTTAAGAAGAAAAAAAGTTCAGGATGACAAGGGACACTAAAATCCCCACAAAATCCGATCTTTATTAAAGCTGTAGGTTCTCTGTCAGCTGAGGTTGAGCTGTTTTAATATGCATTGAGTTCTATGGGGAAAATTTCTGGGTAGCCCACGTGAATTTAGTCTGGTTCAGTCTGCAGTACCGCGAGAATCCCCCGAGCACATGGGTTATTCAGCTACAAGCTAGTAATACCCTATCCAGTTAATATAATAGATCCATGGTCTCACGCGGCAGCGAATGGACATGAAGTCCGTGAATTTAAAAAAATTGTTTAAATATGAACAAATTAAGACACAGATTTAACGCAATGAGGCGAGATGTTGATAGTTCCATGGTGTTATATGTGTGTTTTAAGAGTCAAATGTTCGTGTAAAGTTTGGTTTAAAGCTGCACTAACTGACTTTATTTTTGTATTCATTACAAAAATGCTATTTATGTCCATGTAGTGCATTGGGATATACGTCCTTTAGAAGAAAAAGTAGCGCAGATTTGTGCTGCCGTGACATTATATTTTAGATCGAGTTTTGATGAGACAAGGAAGAGAATGTGTTTCGGGTCGCAGATTGTGACCAATCACAACGGACCACTGGCCCCCACTTTCGTGAGAAATCTACAGGTCCGTTAGCATAGACGGCTGAGTTAGCACAACAAGCGGCGGAGCTAACCTGAAGCTTCGTGTGTCTTAGTCACCGGTTACTGCTTACACAGCGAAACAGCCATCCAAAAGAAAGTCTCGTTCCTCCGCGCTTCCTGGTTCTATCGTTCTATGGTCACACCATCCACGTGAAAATTCATGTCCATGTATTATCCATATTGGGAGACGCTAGCTCCGTCCCAACAGTGGGTGCGGGGAGGGGAGCAGAAAGAGAGAGGCCAGCGAGTCCGCGGCTTCAAAATCCCAAAGTCAGTTAGTGCAGCTTTAATAATACTTTTACAGCTAATCCCAATTCCCTCTTACTTTTTAGACGAAGTCGATAATCAATAATCACTTTTAACACAGATTCTAATTTAAATGTTTGAAAAACGGCTTTTGTAACTAAAATAAAAAATACATTAAAAAATTCTCACAAACAGCTATGAAATATATCAGAGATACAATAATGGACTCAAAAAATAAGCAACAGATTTAAAAAGAAAAGAAAAGCTTTAGCACTAATATTTGGGTTTCAAAACATAATATTCAAAACTTCTGTTTACTAAATGGTGTTTAAAAACGTTTAACTGTGTCATAACACAATGCTCAATTGCAAATTTCGCAAATTTAAAAACTTAATAAAAGCCAAAATCCTAAAAGCAGGTTTGTTCTGATGCAGAGCCAGAGCAGCGAAGGAGGGGGCCGTTTCCCCTGACAACAGCAGCAAGATAGAGCGGCTCATACACAGGCAGAAAGTAGTGTTTTAGCAAAAATGCAAAAACAGAGAGAAGAAGAACTTTCAAGATTACTTTTTAAAGCAAATATAACTGATGTCGTAGTTTATACTTTTGTCATCCAAGTCTAGAAATGGCCACTTTCCACACTTGTAACAAAAGGCACTCTTGGTGTTTAACGTTTCCCTTTTTATTATAACTTTAAATTTTACACCATGGTTTCACTAACTATTTTCTATTCTCTATTCTCTGCCCCGGCTACTCCAAAGGGCAGGGACCCCGCTACTTCAAGGGGTTCCTTTTTCTCTAATCTTATCTATAGATATTAGACATTTGGCAGACCTCAAAACAGACCATAATTTAGTTCACTCAAATAGCAGACTTTGAATAAACAGGTGTCCGCTCTTACCTTTTGTCGAACAGGGCGCCAGGCACCGTCAGAAGTCCACCAAATATGAGCTTTTCCACATCCAACCGGGTCTCCAGATCATGAACCAGCGCTCACTAGTACCGGGAACTAGTTTCCATCGGCAGAGACCAATCGCACATCAGAAATCCCCGGAATGTGGACATGGGAAAACAATTTTAAACGCTTAGTCCAAAAAACAGGACACAAAAAAAATATAGTGAGAGAGCAAAAAAGTCCCGGAGCCGGTCGCCTCTCCTGCTGGACCGCTCCCAGGCCCCAGATACTCTCAGCTCTCCCACGCCGAGAAAAAGAAAACAAAGGAAACTCCCTCAAAACAATCCAGAGAATGGCACACACTGAGCCGCACATCCTCCACCAAATCTGTCAGGGATGAAGCAGACAGAGACGGATCGTGGTGCGCCAAACTCTGGAAGTTTATTTAAGTTTCTCTCAAGTTCCAGTGGTTTCCTTTGTTTCCTTCTCTCAGACAGAATAAAGGCAGTACACAGTTTGTAAGTGTTGTTATATAGGTTTCTTATAAAAGTTTATTTTGCTTTTCTATTTATTTGGTTTAGAATTGTTTTGTAAATAGTAATATTTTAGTTTTCTCCAAAAGAAAGTATTTGTTATTACACTTTTATACATCGGTTTCATTTCGTAATTTTGTTCTCGCGAGAACTGGGGTTTACAAGGGGCCCTCAGGTAGACAGGCAGACGCTCTCTCGTGCTCAAAGACATCAGAGCGAGAGCCACTTTCACAGTGAGAAAGCAACTGTATCAGGTATCTATTTGTACATGTACGATTTTATTGTGTGTTTACATTTGTGTTTTTAATTGTATTATATGTTGTGTACAGCTGAAACGCACATATTGTTTTCAAGTTAAGTTAAAGACCTCCAACATGACAGGCGGCCACGAGGTAGCTAATTTTAAGTTTCGTTTTGTAATGTATACAAGAAGTTGTGTTTAATTGCATATTTTCTTTCGTCCTGTAGTTTTCATGGCATTGAAAGACACTTATGACACTTGTAAGGTCAATAAATGAGCCCGTACTCGAGAATCCGTGTGCAGCGTTGTCATTGAGGAGCTACAGTGAAAACTCGACCAGCCCAGTGCCGGTGAAAAGCTCGAGTCCAGACGAAAAGGCGGCGTACTCCATATACCCCTGACTGCAGTCCGCAGATCGGGGCGGAGCTCAACGTGGGGGGAGTCAAACGTTTGACTCCGCCCACCGCGGAAGCTTCTTTTTTTTTTCTTTTTTTTAACGGAAGCGTTTTTTTTTTTCATTTTACCCTGATTTTAATCTTGATCAAGGGTAAAATCATCAAGTTGATGATTTTAAAAAATAATTAATATTTATCGGTCCCGATAACTATTTTTGGTACCATCATTTATTATTGCACCTGATTCTGACCGATTCTGATGTTACACCTAAGCTTGTAATAATATAAAAAGCTTTTGTATGGGACACCATTCATTGTTATTTATATCAGGATCACATCTGGTGTCAAAATGTAAATCTTTGGTAAAACCTGTTTCTTTTTGTCTCAAATGTAAATACCAGCTTACATAATAGTAAGGTTACATAATATTCTATATGCATTCTTGTCTCATAAAATAAATGATACTAAAATAATAGTAATTTGATTACATTTCCATGAGCCCTCACAACTTTACACACAACTTTTTAATGAGGTTCAGCTCCCACTGAACTAGAACAGTGAAGTGAAATCAACATTTAATATCAGGCTTCTACTTTCAACTTGTCAAAAGCCTTATTTTTTTACTGTCCATTATTTTTTATCCATGCTGCCTTCATTTAAAATAATAAAAATTCTTATATAAATGTATCCACTCAATTATATCAGCTACATTAAGGAGAACAGAGACTGAATTGTGCCACTAACACTTCTTAAAACATGCCGAGGTTTGAGGTGGGGTAGCGAGACAGTGGACCCAAGGATGCAGACTTGATGTTTCAAAAAGGTAAATTTTATAACACAAACAAAAGCCATAACCGGAACACAGGTATAAAAAAAGTACAAACAAAATCACCAAAAACCACACTAGGAGAACCAAAACAAAGTGAAAATGCAAAGAAATGCAGCATGTGTGAGCAGAAAATTATCTAATTTCAAAGCCGGAAAACACCTGCAGCTGCCTTTTGTCCATCATTTCCTTGCAGAACTCCTCATAGTCTGCCTGCAAACTAAACATGAACATGAACGGTTCACTGAGGTCTTCTTTATACTCTTCATCCAGGCCATCACACATGCGCAGCATTTCCACTGCCCTCAAGGAATCTTCCTTGTTCATGGTGATGACCTGGGGAAGGTAAAGTTTTCCCTTGAAGGATCTTGTGCCACACCACCTTGCTGCCGTTAAGGTGTCCATAAGCAGGGAATCCTCCTAATGAAAAATTAAGAAAATGAATATTAAAATAGAGGTTGAAGAAGGCAGCAAACAGTGAAATAAGAAAAGCTCACAACGGGTAACATACTCCGTTCCCAGTTCCCACTTCCGGCAAGCTCTCAGCCTTTGCTAGAAAGGAAACAGATTATGGTTCTTAAAGGTATAATAACAATGCAAGTTCTAAAAAAAATCAGTAGCTTATTTTAAGTATACTGGTTTAATGAAAATTGAGAAATTACAGAAAAACCAGCTACGTCACATCCCATCTCTACAACCTTGGGGGTTGTGTACAATAATACTGTTTTGAACAATACCTGATGCTTCAGAGACAGATTCTGAAAGCCGAATACTTTTTGGAGGGACCACTTCCAGATCCTGAAATAAATGGGGGGGATTATGCTTTAGTCTGCAAGCAATAGTTTGACTACAGGACAAATTAATCAACTCTCACCTGTTTTCCTTTTTGCTTTCTCCGTCTTTTTCTTTCCTGCAATCTGGTTTCCTTAGACCTTGATGATGTAATGACAACATTAATTTACTATGAAAACATTCATGTTGGTCTGTGGACCGTGAGTATTTAAAAGGATCTGATTCAAAAGTGTGATCGTGAGGGCACTTACGGCATGGGGAAGTTCTGTAGGAGGACAAGACACCACCATCTCCTAATTTGCAGCATGTTTTCCTTTGAAAAAAGAAAGGAAGATTCAAATATGTGTTCAGGAATGATAAGTTGTATACTAAGCGTAATGTGTCACAATTTTCACATACCTCTCTGAAGTCACAATTGGCCCCCATTACAATGTACAGCGTGTACTGTAAGTCAAGAGGTACTGGTTAATGTACTAATGTCATGCATATTTCCCCAGGATACAATTTTCCAATACATATAATGTGTTTTTAATGTAGCAAGCAAACATTTTACAGATAACAGCAAAGATATAACATACTGAATAGGTCTTACCATCAAAACAAACACGCCACAGTTGTTGGAGCACCCTTGCTTTGTTAGGCCCTGAGGTGTGAACAAGGTCTTTTAAGAAAATAGAAAGAAAATAGTAAATGTTAGCAAATACTATGAAGTAACGTCTCACCTGAACATCATTCACGCCAAGCTCCCTCCAGGGGCCAGGAGACAGGCTGTGAGCAATGTGTCTGTGCAAAGAGTAAGCAGAAGTAACTAAAAGTAACTGAACTAAAATCAACTTTTGATTCAAATGCATAAACACTTTGAACAAAGTTGAAACTGAACAAGAGGTTGGAACTTGAAATGGGCTTGAACAGAACGGCCCCACACAAATAAGATATAGAGTTCTGTTTCCATTTATCCATCCATCCATCCATTCATTTTCTTCCCTTTAATCCATTTCTGGGTCAGGGGGGTGGCAGTCAGAGATGCCACCCAAGTCTCATAGCACCAGCCCCTCACTGACCCTCTGCAGGTGGTGAGTCCACAGGAGGACGGCTGCTCTCTGAGTGTGAGCATAGCCTTGATCTTTCAGTGGGGGCTTTGGGCAAAGTGGGGTTAAGTGTCTTGCCCAAGGACACAACGACAGCAGTCATCAGTGGGAGTCGGTGGAGAAGGTGCAGAGGTGGGAATTGAACCCACGACCTTCTTGCCTTAAGGCCAATGCTCTACCAACTGAGCTACTGTCGCCCCAGTAGTTTCCATTTATTTAATTTAATTAATTAATTATTTTAATTTGTTTAATGAATCAAAATAGTTAATGCATGGAATATTTTAGATCAAATAAAAACAGAACCATTGAATAAAAAAAAGGACAAGTGGTTTAAAACAGAACTACCACTGTCCAGATAGGATGATGCAAGGTGCCCTAAAAACCTGAATAGATGGGTTCTACTCTCATCTCTCCAGCCGCTGCCACAGAGGGGATCTAGGAAGAAAATCTCCCTATTCTGTGGCCTCAGTATCTGTTAAATGTTCAAGTTCAAACATAACCAGATACATTGAGTTGTGAATGTTACTGAAATCCCAACAAAGCTGTAATACATGTAATTATAGCAAAACCTTTAAATCAGCTATGAGCTACTTTGTTGTGTAAGGAAAACATATTATTATAAATATATTTACACAGAGTGTCCAATGTCCAGGTACAAACACTGGGAGAATAATCCACTGTAGACTGGCTGCATCATCCTGTAAAAAAGACATCAATAGCTGAATATGAAATGCTCAGGCTTCACTCACAAAAGCAAAAAAGAATGACAAACAAATTACCTGTAGGTGATCCATGTGGTTCAGCGATAATGGTGGGAACCAAGTGGAAATGACATGGCTGTCTGCAGCAAACACTTTCTCTACTCTCTGTAACATAGAGTTCGTTAATCTCTTACTGTCACAATATATTGACTGTTCAACTATACTATCCAATCCATTTGAATTCCATATTTCACAAGAGCTATGATACCTTCTCAATCACTTTTAGACAACAGTTCAGGATCTAGTAAAACACAAACACAAATTATCAAAAGATTATGAAAAATATTACATAATCCACATCAGCGCAGCACATTCTTTATGCATACCATTCCGTCCATGTCCCGCTCCAAACCCAGACTCCAAAAGTCAAAGCGGGTCAGGATGATCCCATTCACCATTGCAAGGTGCTGAGTGGGACTTTTGGTCTCATCCAAGACCTGAGACAACTAGTGGAAGAAAACAAACTATGATTTAGAAAAAAACGTGATATCAATTTTTGGTCAAACAGTGGCACAGCACAATAGTTGAACTTTACCAGTTGTTCCTGGCTGTTTTGGAGTGTCTGTCCCCAGCATGTTCTGTGTGCTGACAATTTATCGAGACTAGTAAAGTCTCCATGAGGTTTCTGCTCACTGCCATTATCTACTAGTGAAAAAAGCAACAACACAAAAATAAAAATTAAGTGTGAACTGTCACATTTCTCCTTTGAATAATGTGTTAAATAGAGCAAAGACTCACACTCTTGACACTCTGCTAGTTCTTTGCCAGATGATGCCGTTGTCATTCCAGCTGATGGGGAATGAGCTTTAGAAAAAAAGTAACATAAATTATTGTCTAAAGTAGATGAAGACAACAAATGTGCATACATATTCAATAGCATACCTAAGACTATCCTTCCATGGCTGTCACACTGCATTGCAACATCTGGAGGAACAATCTTGCTGTATTGTTGTTTCTTTTTTTGGTTTATTGCGATGTTGTAATGATGGAGTATATTTCTTTGATGAAATATGTGTGTTGATGGGGTTGTCAGATTCAAAAAGTAATTATTCTTTCTCATCCCTGAGAACAATTGCTCCACACACTGGCTGTTAATAAGACCAGTAAGCTCAGGCACAAGCTCCAGCTTTCGCAGAACCTCCCTCTGGTCTTTGCTGTTGCCCTGGTGGAACACATCATTCAAAGCAAAATGCTGTGAGGACCCAGTGAGAGGGTGACCATCTTTGTCAGCTGGCATCTTAGGAAGTTTCAGCCAAGGCATGTTGACCTGAACTTTGCCCTCTGAGGCCTGCTTAACGTTCTCTGGGGTGGGATCCAGTAACCTTCCTTGAAAAGGGTCAAAGATTCCTGGCTGCCTGCGGTTGGCATGCAGTGCCAGCCCCCTGGCATAATCGTACACTGACATATTAGGAAAGTGTTTCCAGGACAGCAAGAGATCCACAAAGTCACGTGGACTCTCTGCTCTAAGGTTGAATTTCACTGAATACACAACCCCACATGGACAGGTTGATAACTGCCCAGCCACCTGTGAAATAACAGAAAAAATAACTGACATTAGCAGTATGTATAGCCAACATACATAACTACTGTCATTTCTTTTACAAAAACAACATATAACAAAGTGGAATTATCTTCAACATTCCATATAATTTCACTTACCAGAGGCACCCCACACCTTCTCAAACACCTTGTTGTAGGTGACTCTGTTAGACATCTTCTCAGAAAGCCTGATGACAAGATCCACCTTGGACCCTTTGTGGTCCACACCACACTGTTTGCACAGTGCCCTGACCTGCTGTACCTGATGTGAAAATGCAATGAACTTGATATTGTTACTATAGCATGAATGCTATAGTGGAATTTGCCCATTTTATCAACTAATTCACCTTCAAGTTCACAAGCTCATCTGTGAGCCGCTCCTCAGTAATTTTCTCATCATCATCATCATCAGCATCATTCTCTCCATCATTTTGCATTTTGGGGCTTTGCATTTTTTCAAATTCTGTGTTTAACACTGAATTTGACTTTCGGGTGTGTGGGCCAATCCAGGGGGCCCAGTGATGGTAACTTGGAGGCACAACAAAAGGGTTCTTTCGACCACCTTTGTGAACAAATGTGATAAGTATTAGCTATTATTATCACAAAATTAAACACATATTAATAAACTCTCTCTCCAACTGTTCTGTGTTTATGGTTCTGTCTGACAATACTTACATGGAATTAATCCACGACTGATAATTTCTTTGGCCACAGCGTCCCAGAAGTTGTTTATGTCCACATGACCATTGTAATTTTCAGGTGGACTTGGGATTTCACTCACTGTTAAAACAGTGTTTGCTATTCAGAGCTCAATTACGGAAAACACTCACAACACCACAGTTGATGAAGTGCTATTCAAACATGGTTAGCATGATGTTTCACTTACCTGGCATATTGAAAACGCCTTTCTTGTGAAGATCCATCACAACAACTGCTGGGTTGTATCCACATGACACACAACTGTAGGTGTAGTCATGGTTGGTCAGGGCCTCAAAATGAAGATATGCCTGAAGAACTCTGTCCTTGTTTGGAAAGGACACCTTTTCTGTTTTTTCTATTATTTCTATCACTTTGCTGATAGCTGTATGGGTCTGGAAAATGATGAGAAACATTCCAATGTTATCAAATTTCAAAATGTACATTTTATATTTCTTTAGAATTGCCTCTTCAATCACCATTTGTTTTAACTGTAATGAATAAATCACAATAATGGAAGATTAAGCAAGGGTAAATATATATTAATAATATCAATTATTATCATATAAGTTTAGAGGTTGGGTCACTAAAAAAGTATGTCAAGAAATTAAAATCTATCACATAATATAGAAAAATCAACCTTTTAGCGAGCACAATTTATTATTGTATTATATGTCTCACCTGAAGTGCATTCCTGACCACCAGGCACAAGTGCAGAGACAGGATGATGTGGTCATCAAAATTGTGGATACCCTCCTCCCACTCCTGGTATCTGTAAATCATGCCACAGTTCAGGCATGATTTCCTGTATGTTGATATTCCTAAGAACACAGTCAAACCAAAGATCATGGTTATTGCTTGCATGTCATTTGAGATCAATTGAACTATTTTGCACCACTCATACATTCACAAGCTCCAGAAACAACTCAAGTTTTGAATGCTTCAACCGCTGCATTTACTCCACACATTGATACAGCTACCAAAAGTCAAGCACTCAAAGCGTCAAGTTTACCTTACATTCCTCAAGCAAAGCCAGTCTCAACAGCCACTACTCAACTCCAGCAGAACTCTGATTTGGTGAGAATATTAGCAGAAGCAATAAGTGCTAATCGTCTTCCAACTCCAGAACCCGTACAGTTCACTGGCGATCCTTTACAGTTCAAAGACTGGCAGTTGTCGTTTGAAACTTTGATTGAAAGGAAAAACATTCCCAAAAATGAGAGACTTTACTATCTCAGATTGTGGATCTGCAAAAAAGGCAGTGGAAGGATTTCTCCTTATAGGAACCAATGAAGCATACGATTCGGCTTGGCAGTTGTTGGAAAAACGGTTTGGAGATCCCTTCACCATAGGAAAATGCTTCAGAGATAAACTTCACAGCTGGCCAAAAATAAGCTACAAAGATGGATCTGAGTTGAGAGAATTTGCAGACTTCCTCAGAAGTTGTGAAGCCGCTATGCCGCATATCAGAACACTGGAAGTTCTCAATGATTGCATGGAAAATCAAAGGATTTTGTTAAAGTTACCAGATTGGCTAGTATCTAGATGGAACCGCATGGCTATGGAACAGAGAAACGCATATGGAAACTATCCATTGTTTCATACATTTGTTGAATTTGTGTCCACCGAAGCAGACTTAGCGTGCGACCCCATAACTTCCATACAAGCACTGAAAGGTTTGGAATCAGATAAACCCAAACACTCAAGACACCAATTGTTTCAAGCTAAGGCTCTAACAACGAACTCCTTTAACTTCAGTCATAATGCTCCAACATGCATATTTTGCAAAAGAACTGGTCACACTCTCGATAAATGTCACAAGTTTTCCGAAAAGCTAGTTCAAGATCGTGTCAAGTTTGTTCAAACAAAAAAGCTCTGTTTCGGATGCTTAAGGACAGGACATCACTCAAAGAAGTGCGAAAAGAGAAGCACATGTGATAAGTGTCAAAGAAAACATCCTACATGCTTGCATGATGACAAGTTCATGGAACGTAAAAGGACTGCTTTTGTGAAAAGTAATAATGACTCTCAAGATACAACAGACACCAAAGAAAGGGTGCTCCCTCAAGAGAAGCCCGACTTGCAAGACAAAGACAAAGCTGCAACAGCAACATCAAATAGTGTTTCTCAGGAAAGCTGTAACACTTTGACATCGTCTATATTGCCAGTCTGGGTCTCATCTATCAAGAATCCTGAGCATGAAGTACTGGTGTACGCACTTCTCGACTCACAAAGTGATACATCTTTCATACTGGATGATGTAGCTCAAGAGCTTGATGCAGATAAAAGTACGGCTAGTTTAAGACTATCAACAATGTCTGCCAAGTTAACAGTGATACCATGTGAGAAACTGTTAAACCTTCAAGTGAGAGGATATCACAACAAGCAGAAAATTGCACTGCCCGCAGTTTTCACAAGAGAGTTCATACCAGCAAACAAGTCGCACATTCCAACGTCAGAAACGGCCCTGAAATGGCCTCATCTCGAAAGGTTGGCAGATAAGTTGTCTCCTCTGCTTGAGTGTGAAGTTGGTTTACTCATTGGGTATAACTGCCAACAAGCCCTTCTACCAAGAGAAGTCCTAGCTGGTACAGAAAACCAACCTTACGCACAACTCACAGATCTTGGCTGGAGCATTGTCGGTTGTTCCTTTCAAGTTTGCGATCAAAGTGATGCAATCGGCACCAGTCACAGAGTCATTGTGCGTGAAGTAACCCTTGCAGTGCAAAAGTCAGTTGAGCTAAAGCAAGAAGTGCACTTTGTATGCAAAACTTGGGTTAAAGAAGTCACCCCACAGGATGTAGTAAAGGCTCTAGAAGTTGATTTTGCCGAACGAGCTGCAGATGACAATCCAGTCTCACAGGAAGACATTCTGTTCTTGTCAAAGGTAAACAAAGGCATAAGGCACAAGGAAGATGGTCACTACGAACTCCCACTTCCATTCAAAACAGACAACCTAATCCTGCCAAATAACAAACTATATGCAGAACGCAGACTGTCTTCATTGGAACGTCGTCTCAGAAAAGATGAGAGATACTATAACGATTACATCAAGTTCATGAATGACATAATAAGTCGTGGAGATGCCGAGAAGGTCCCAATACAAGAGCTCAAAAACAAGACCGCTTGGTACATCCCACACCACGGGGTATACCACCCTCACAAGCCTAAGAAAATCCGTGTAGTCTTTGACTGTTCAGCCCGCTTTCAAGACACATCTCTCAATGATCACCTTCTGACTGGACCAGATCTCACGAACGCACTGGTTGGAGTGTTATGCCGATTCAGAAAGGGTCCAATAGCCATAATGTGTGATGTTGAGCGGATGTTCCATCAATTCCATGTCATTAAGGAACATCAAGACTACCTAAGGTTTCTCTGGTGGGACGAAGGCAACCTGAGCTCCAATCCGTGTATCATCAGTGTATAGAATGAAAGTGCACCTATTCGGGGCAGCTTCATCCCCCGGATGCTGCAACTTCGGACTAAAGCATATTGCCGCACAAGGCCAAGAGAAGTTCAGCAAAGAGACCATCAAGTTCATCCAAAGAGGATTTTACGTTGACGACGGTTTGGCTAGCGTTACTTCAACTGCTGAAGCCATACAGTTAGTTGAAGAGTCAAGAGCTCTTTGTAAATCTGGCAATCTACGCTTGCATAAGTTTGTGTCCAACAACAAAGAAGTGCTTGCAGCAATACCACAAGCAGAACAAGCACAAGCAAAGGATCAAGACATGGCTCTTGGAGAGTCTCATATTGAACGTGCACTGGGAGTACAATGGTGTATTGAGGCAGACGAGTTTCAATTCCGAGTCTTAGTCAAAGACAACCCGCTTACAAGGAGAGGGGTGCTCTCAACAGTTGCCTCGGTCTTTGACCCCCTTGGGTTTGTTGCTCCTTTTATCTTGATCGGAAAACAAATACTCCAAACATTGTGCAAAGATAAAGTCAATTGGGACGACAATCTCCCTGAGCACATCTTACCACAATGGGAATCATGGCTCAGAGACCTACCCAAACTAGCACCTCTAAAAATCCCGCGTAACTACTCAAAGGACATCAACATTGCACATTACGAACTGCACAACTTCTCAGATGCAAGTCTGAACGGCTATGGTGCATGTTCATATCTAAGAGCAATAACCAAAGAAGGACAAATCAACTGCTCACTTGTAATGGGTAAAGCAAGAGTTACCCCCACTAAACAAACAACTATTCCAAGGCTTGAACTGTCATCCGCCGTGACTTCAGTTCGTAATGCAGATGTGATCAAGCAGGAACTCGAAATCGACAATCTCAAAAAGTTTTACTGGACAGATTCACAAGTCGTTCTAGGCTACATAAGCAATGATGCCAAAAGATTCCACACATTTGCTGCAAATCGAATTCAAAGAATAAGACAAAGTACAAGTCCCGATCAATGGCAACATGTCATCTCTGAAAATAACCCGGCCGATCATGCCTCAAGAGGCTTAAATGCAACTCAGCTCAAAGACTCAAACTGGTTACAAGGTCCAGCGTTTCTTTGGCAACAAGATCTTCCTGTTAAAAAGGAAACGGTGGGAGAAATACTGGAGGAAGATCCAGAACTTCGCAAGGGTCATACACATACCATTCAGTCAAAGGAAACAAATGCTTTGCTGGATCGTCTAAAGAAGTTTTCACATTGGTCAAGAGCAGTAGGAGCCATTGCACGACTCAAAAGATGTATTAAAGAGTTCAAAGGTATTCAACAAAGAACAAACAAACTTACCAACCTCGAAGAAAGAAGGGAAACGGAAACCATGGCAATCATCAACAGTAGACCATTAAGCACTGAACATCTTAATGACCCCACTGGTCCAGAACCACTTACGCCAAATCACATACTAACGATGAAGTCATCAGTTATTCTTCCTCCGCCAGGACAGTTCTCCAAGGAAGATTTGTACTTGAACAAAAGATGGAAAAGAGTACAGTTCCTCGCAAATGAGTTTTGGCAGAGATGGAAGCGAGAATACCTGCTAAATCTCCAACAACGACAGAAATGGCAGAAAACATCTCGTAACCTGCAAGTGGATGATATTGTGATTCTGCAGGACGATAATGCACCAAGATGTAACTGGAAGCTCGCTCGTGTGATAGAGACTTTCACAAGTACAGATGGAAATGTTCGAAAAGTGAAGTTGAAGACAAGCGACACTACTTTTGACAAAGGAAAGACACAGACAAGACTAATACATTTAGAAAGACCTATTCACAAAGTTGTGACTTTGATTGAGACTGATAAAGTTCCTACACATAGTGAGGACTCAGACACTTCTTAGAAAACCACCTTTAAAGTTTGGTTGATTTTGGTGGGAGTGTAAGTGTTGTTATATAGGTTTCTTATAAAAGTTTATTTTGCTTTTCTATTTATTTGGTTTAGAATTGTTTTGTAAATAGTAATATTTTAGTTTTCTCCAAAAGAAAGTATTTGTTATTAAACTTTTATACATCGGTTTCATTTCGTAATTTTGTTCTCGCGAGAACTGGGGTTTACAAGGGGCCCTCAGGTAGACAGGCAGACGCTCTCTCGTGCTCAAAGACATCAGAGCGAGAGCCACTTTCACAGTGAGAAAGCAACTGTATCAGGTATCTATTTGTACATGTACGATTTTATTGTGTGTTTACATTTGTGTTTTTAATTGTATTAAATGTTGTGTACAGCTGAAATGCACATATTGTTTTCAAATTAAGTTAAAGACCTCCGACATGACAGGCGGCCACGAGGTAGCTAATTTTAAGTTTCGTTTTGTAATGTATACAAGAAGTTGTGTTTAATTGCATATTTTCTTTCGTCCTGTAGTTTTCATGGCATTGAAAGACACTTATGACACTTGTAAGGTCAATAAATGAGCCCGTACTCGAGAATCCGTGTGCAACGTTGTCATTGAGGAGCTACACAGTTTATATAGTCATTGTCATGTCACACATGGAAAGACGTACATGTCACACAGAGACAGTCACATCATAGTCAAAATAATCAGAGTCCTTGTACAGTCCTGCACGTAGGCCATATTGCTATCTAATACTAACAACTGCTTACACAGCAAAACAGCCATCTAAAAGAAAGTCGCTTCCCGGTTGTATCGTTCTATGGTCACGCCATCCACGTGCAAATCCATATCCATGTATTATCCATATTGGGAGACGCTAGCTCCGTCAACAACAGTGGGTGTGTGTGGGGGGCGATAGCTTCGTGGGTGGGGGAGGGGAGCAGAAAGAGCGAGGCCAGCGAGTCCGCGGCTTCAAAGTCCCAAAGTCAGTTAGTGCAGCTTCAGTAGTTTGAGTGTTCCTGTTTACAACACTACGCAGCAGGGTTGCCAGGTTGGGTAGTTTCCGCATTCTTTTCTTCAAGAGACTTGTAGGTAATAAATAAGCAGAAAGACAATAAACAGAATCATGATAGCCAAAGTTGATTACATTGCGTTTTTAGCCAAAAAAATCATTGGGCCTCATTCACCAATGACTTCTTAAGAATCTTCTTAAATTTCTTCTCAAGTTGTTCTTAAGTAAATTTCTAAGAAGACCCTACGTGGGATTCATCAACACGTTCTCAAGCAGCTGAATTGTTCGCAGCTGTTCTCTTAGATTGATGAATGCCAACTCCTTGTAAGTAGAGAGCGCATGCCAGGTGCTTCATTAGCATAGGTACTTAGCATAGGTAACCACCCATTAATGCCCATAAAAGGGACTGCAGGGCCGTGTGCAGACACCGGAGGAAACAGCAACATGCAGCAAAGAGTTACGGACGGATTAAAGTCATAAAATTTTGACTTTAAAGTCGAAATATTGTGAGAATAAAGTTGAACTGGCAAAATTATTAGATTAATCTAAAATATATTATGAGATTGATTAATTTATATATTAATTTCAAAAATTATGAGATTAATCTCAAAATGTAATGAGATTAATCTCAAAATGTAATGAGATTAATCCCAAAATGTAATGAGATTAATCTCAAAATGTAATGAGATTAATCTCAAAACATTTCGGACCCTGGGAGGAGATCCAGCACGGACTAGCACTGAGACCAAGGCAGACCCGAGGAGAGACCATAGACTGGAGAGACCAGCGTGGAGAGACCGCAGACTGGAGAGACCAGCGCGGACCTGCTGCTGCAGGAGGTTGTGGGGTCCGTGCTGAGTCTCTGCGTTGGTCTCTCCCATGGATCTATTACAGATCCGCGCTGTTCACCCCATAGATCTATTACGGGTCCATGCGGGTCTCTCCCATGGATCTATATGCCATTGTTTTGTGGCCGGTGGATAAAGAAATGCACCGTATAAATAGGATGGGGTCACACATAGACAGCATGATTTCTATAAAGCGTTGCCACATTTAATTTAAAAATGAATAAAAAATAGGCTATATTACTGTAAACAATTAAACAAATAAATACACACATCAATATGATGGACATATCACTGTCATGTTGTGTTTTATTGAACTTCATAACACCAGCGTGCGGACATGTCGGCACTGAATGTGCTTAAGAGTGCTCATGAGCACTCGTAGGATTTGTACTTAGCCAAGAAAAATTCTGGTTACGAGAAAATTTCATGAATGCCACAATCTTCGCAAAATCTTCGTAAGTAGGATTTACGTACAAATTTGTTCTTAAGAACGATTCGTGAATGAGGCCCCTTCTGGGTGTTTTTCTTTTGGGCATTCTCGCGGGAAATCTTGCCGGCATTTGGGAACCCATGGGAGTCGTGTGCTTCGATGTGAGTGGTTGAAGGAAGACGTAATTCAAGATAACGGACAGGTGGTTTATCCAATCACATACAAGGATTTATTTTAGAAGGCCCCGCCATCTGAAATCCAACAGTGATGGCTAAGATCCAGACCCATGTGAGAAGCGCAGCAAACTACATGGGTCTGGCGAGAATCAGGTTAATATCAGTCTCTCTAGGCAGAAAGTAAGTATCAAAAATAACTTCTGATTTGTTCTTAATCACATAAACAATGACCATAATGACGTTACATAAACAATCAGAAAGCCTTATGTTGAGCCACATGCGAGTTGCCAGTTTCACTGATGAGATCCAGTATGTTTCATCTGTAAACCTCAGCACCCGCAGCAGCTGTCTATTGGTTTCACATGGTATGTCTGTAATCCAGGTTCTTGTGATGTGATATTGTCTTTGAAAATCCAAAGAAAGATAAAGGGGCTGAGAATCATTTGCAGGAAACTCCAGCTTGCTTTGGTAACGGTCTTAGCCACCATCGCAGAGGAAATTATCATATAAGGAAATTTGCTTCAGCTAGTTCATGTTCTAACTAGCTTCTTCCACATTAAGGCTAAAACTTTGGTGATGTCACACTAAGTCAGTCAACTCCCGAGATACAGTCTAAGAGACACGACTCAAGTTTTAAATTTTAATTTACCCATGGGACAAATGCAATTCCTCGCAAGGGGCGGACGTCACTATTGCAACTCGCCACAACCCACGATCCGGTGGGAACACAGCCTTACACAATATACAGTGGTAACTCTTTTCATAATTATTGTTTACATCTTTAAAGGTGTGTTCCTCACACCTCAATGTGAGAAGACTCATCTGAGTCTTCTCACATTAAACAGAATTGATCAATCACTAAAATTATCCATAATTGAGGAATATGCTAGTTTAAACCAAACTGAGCACCATTTCAACCAAAGTAACAACAAATCTATCACAAGAAGCAGTTATCAGACCACGACACAAAAAGCAGGTCACCACCAATACAGTTAACAACCCTAACCCAAAACAACTTTAGGTTCCAACTTACACGTCATAGCGAAAAGTCTACAGTCTATGTACAAAGTTCGACTGTATCTGTTGATAATCCAGGTTGTGGAAGGGTTATTAGTTTCGGTCAAAGTCTCTGTAGATCTGTAATGTCTGTTCTGCATCTTGCAATGTACCAAGATATCATCCACATTATAAAAATGATACTCTTAACCCACATGTGCTATCTACAGACTTGGAGGGATGTGGCAGTAGAGGATACTGTCATTTTCCATATAATATATATATACAGTACAGACCAAAAGTTTGGACACACTTTCTCATTCAATGAGGTTCCTTTCTTTTCATGACTTTTGACTGTAGATTCACAGCCAGGATGTGTAAGGGCTATCTGACCAATAAGGAGAGTGATGGGTGCTGGGCCAGATGACCTCGTCATCCAATCCAGATGGTTTTGGGGTGAGCTGGACCACAGAGTGAAGGCGAAGGGGCCAACAAGTGCTAAGCATTTCTGGGAACTCCTCCAAGACTGTTGGAAGACCATTTCAGGTCCTCTTGAAGCTCATCAAGAGAATGCCAAGAGTGTGCAAAGCAGTAATCAGAGCTGTCTTTTTTTTTTTTTTTTTACGTACATAATTCCACATGAGTTTTTTCATAGTTTTGATGCCTTCAGAGTGAATCTACAATTTTCATAATTATGCAAATAAAAAACTCTTTGAATGAGAAGGTGTGTCCAAACTTTTGGTCTGTACTGTATATATAAATATATCAAAACAATTTAGGTAGTTAGTAATGATCAAATTAGCATATTCATCCACGGGATAAAATAATAAGATTTACAGGTTCCTACAACATCAATGCAGACACATGTCATCATACTCCCTCAAACCCAGGTAAGAAGGTCTTTTAGCACTGCGTCTGCTGCCAAAGATGGCTGCTGGAGTTACAAGTGCAATTCCACACGTCCTTATGTGGCAGCACAGTTGTGAATTTAACTGGATACTGAAAGGTCTTCACAGGATTTAAGGCCCTTGTCAACAAACATGTCTCCAACAGACTCTCTTTTTAATATTTATGAACTGCAATGCACAAGGTTCATTTGTATGTATACATGCACAGGAAAAAGAGCCCTGCAAATGTGTCTTTGTTTGTTCTTTAAGTCCTTCATAAAGGATCAGAATCTGGGTCTACGGATGCAGCCTTCACACCGGGCTCTCGCAGGTCTGAAGGTGTTTCCGCTGAGCCGCCCCTGTTCTAAAAGCCTTCCCACACATTTCACAGACAAATGGCTTCTCTCCCGTGTGGATCCTCTTGTGATATCTGAGAGACGTACTCTGTTTAAACCTCCGATCACAGATGTCACAGCTGTATGGTTTCTCTCCAGTGTGGATTCTTTTGTGACTGTTAAGATGTCCTCTTGTGGAAAAGCCATGCCCACACACGTCACACACGTACGGCTTCTCTCCAGTGTGGCTCCGGTGGTGGACTCTGCGCTGTATTGCAGTTCTAAAGGTTTTACTGCAGTGATCACACTTGTATGGCTTTTCTCCAGTGTGGATTCTTTTATGACTTTTGTAGGAGGAGATCACAGCAAACTTCTTCCCACAGTCTCCACAGATGAACGGCTTTTCTCCTGTGTGGACTCTGTAGTGATGAGTGAGGTCAGTCAAACGTGTAAAAGTCTTTTCGCACTGGTAACACTGGTGAAGCTTCTCTTTGTGGACACGCTGATGTTGTGTGAGATGCCTTCTGATCCTAAACATTTCTCCACATTCATCACACTTAAATGGTTTTTCTCCTGTATGGATACTCCTGTGATCTTTGAGATGATTCTCTCCTCTAAAACTCAGACCACAAACCTCACAGCTGAAGGGCTTTTCTCCAGTGTGGATTCTGCTGTGGACCTTAAGATGTTCTTTTGTTGTAAATCTCGTCCCACACAGATCACACTCGTGTGGTTTTTCTCCAGTGTGACTTCTGTAGTGTCTCTTGAGTGCGGAAGCAAAGCTCCAGATCTTTCCACACTGATCACAGGTGAACCCCATTCTGTAGATGGACTTTTCAGATCTGCCACAAACACAGAAAAAGGAGACGTCAGAGAATACTGTTTATATTTCATACACCAAATGCTGATGAATATACAGAGGGGCTTGGGTAGTTGCAGATAGTGCATGTTTTCCCACCAACAGTAAAAACAGCTGTTATTCCTTTGAAAATTAAGTACCCCTGTGTTCATTCTTGATCATAATAACACATAGCGTTGTTAGCGTCTGGTACACTCAATAAATCATTGTATTTTGTCCTGGTTTGCAAGAAATATTCCATCTTGCAGCAGACCAAATGCCAAGATTTTAGAGCGGGGCTGCCCAGGTCATTTTGGTCGAGGGCTAATAGTATAAAAGTGTTTGAAGCTAATATTTACATCTGTGGATAGAATTTAATTGCATGATGAAGGTATTTAGACAAAAGCATGACTTTAATTATTGTCAAATAGATTTTTTTGAACAAAAACAAGTTAAAGTTTGATGTTTTAAAGTTTTTTTAATAGATGACTCAAGGAATCACAGCAGAAGACATATTCACCCATTCAACAGCGTAATTTATAGACGAAAATAATATTAATAGATAATGGGAAAATGTAATTTCTTGAAAAGTGAGAAACAGGTCGCACACGCAGCAGCGATGTTTCTGTTTACAATAGTAACACATCAGCACGACTCTTTAGACTCTCGTATCCACGTAAACAAAGTAAAGTCACAGTGGTCTTTACTCAACGACATAAGCTGCTAATGAATATCCATTGAGCATGCAGGAAAACAATTCAAGATGCTATCGTCCTTTGGGATAATGCTAATGCTAACCAGACTAGCATAACAAACACTGACCACGGAAAGAGCGAGGCACGTCTGCGGCGGTAGTGAGGACCTCTACGACAAATAGACACGTGGATTGTGTAGAACGAGGATTTAGAAGCGTGTAAAACACAATAACGCAGAGTATGTGAGTGTACAGCATGGTGTACAGGCGGTGACCGGAGCCCACTGCCCACTGCCCAATGCCCCTCCTCCGGACTGTGGAAGTCTCAACAACAGTAAAACCAAACTGTTGAAGTAGACTCGTTCCTCGGCCCCGTATCAGAAAGTTAGATTGTTTTGTGGCTTGAGAGGCTTTGGGTATGAAAAAGTGGTGTGTAATTTTTGATTGACTGCGGAACCTTCCGCAGTCAACCATTGGTTTTGTATTTCTTTATTCCGTCATTTTTTTTGACACGTTTCACAGCTTTCACATTTTCAACAATTTCCACAAGTTATACATCAAAACGTTCCACATGTTTGGGAGATTATTGCTATTACTTTTGGGACTTCAGCGATTTCCGGTTTTTCCGCAATCGGACAAAAATCTGCATTGAGAATTCTGCAATGCATTTTAATAGGCCCATGCATTTTAATAGGACTTCAGCTCTTTCAGACATTTCTACAGTTTCAATGATTCAACAGTTTCAAGGATTCAACAGTTTCAAGGATTTCAGCAGTTTCAAGATTTCAAGAGTTTCAAGGACTTCAACAGTTTCAAGGACTTCAGCAGTTTCAAGGACTTCAGCAGTTTCAAGGACTTCAGCAGTTTCAAGGACTTCAGTGTAATCATGCAACCTAATAGGGATTTTTCCATGTAAACCATATAATGCAACTTAATAGGGATTTTTCCATGTAAACCAGTATAATGCAACTTAATAGGGATTTTTCCATGTAAACCAGTATAATGCAACTTAATAGGGTTTTTTCATGTAAACCAGTATAATGCAACTTAATAGGGTTTTTTTTCATGTAAACCAGTATAATGCAACTTAATGGGGATTTTTCCATGTAAACCAGTATAATGCAACTTAATAGGGGTTTTTACATGTAAACCAGTATAATGCAACTTAATAGGGTTTTTTCCATGTAAACCAGTATAATGCAACTTAATAGGGTTTTTTCCATGTAAACCAGTATAATGCAACTTAATAGGGTTTTTTCCATGTAAACCAGTACAATGCAACTTAATAGGGATTTTTCCATGTAAACCAGTATAATGCAACTTAATAGGGTTTTTTACATGTAAACCAGTATAATGCAACTTAATGGGGATTTTTCCATGTAAACCAGTATTATGCAACTTAATAGGGATTTTTCCATGTAAACCAGTATAATGCAACTTAATAGGGTTTTTTCATGTAAACCAGTATAATGCAACTTAATAGGGTTTTTTTTCATGTAAACCAGTATAATGCAACTTAATGGGGATTTTTCCATGTAAACCAGTATAATGCAACTTAATAGGGGTTTTTACATGTAAACCAGTATAATGCAACTTAATAGGGTTTTTTCCATGTAAACCAGTATAATGCAACTTAATAGGGTTTTTTCCATGTAAACCAGTATAATGCAACTTAATAGGGTTTTTTCCATGTAAACCAGTACAATGCAACTTAATAGGGATTTTTCCATGTAAACCAGTATAATGCAACTTAATAGGGTTTTTTACATGTAAACCAGTATAATGCAACTTAATGGGGATTTTTCCATGTAAACCAGTATTATGCAACTTAATAGGGATTTTTCCATGTAAACCAGTATAATGCAACTTAATAGGGATTTTTCCTTGTAAACCAGTATAATGCAACTTAATAGGGTTTTTTTCATGTAAACCAGTATAATGCAACTTAATGGGGATTTTTCCATGTAAACCAGTATTATGCAACTTAATAGGGATTTTTCCATGTAAACCAGTATAATGCAACTTAATAGGGTTTTTACATGTAAACCAGTATAATGGAACTTAATAGGGGTTTTTACATGTAAACCAGTATAATGGAACTTAATAGGGGTTTTTACATGTAAACCAGTATAATGCAACTTAATAAGGATTTTTACATGTAAACCACTATAATGTAACCTAATAGGGGTTTTTACATGTAAACCAGTATAAAGCAACTTAATAGGGATTTGTACATGTAAACCAGTATAATGCAACCTAATAGGGATTTTTCCATGTAAACCAGTATAATGCAACTTAATAGAGATTTTTCCATGTAAACCAGTATAATGCAACTTAATAGGGATTTTTCCATGTAAACCAGTATAATGCAACCTAATAGGGATTTTTCCATGTAAACCAGTATAATGCAACCTAATAGGGATTTTTCCATGTAAACCAGTATAATGCAACCTAATAGGTTGCATTATACCACCAGACCAAGACCCAAACGAAGACTCAGACCACCACCAGATAATGACCACAGACCAGGTTTCCTTAGTTACAGGAACCAAATTGTTTCAGCGGTGAGGGGATTTTTCAGTTTCAAGGACACTTTCAATACATTCAGTAGTTTCAAGGATTTCAACTGTTTAAGAATTTAACCAGTTTCAAGGATATCAGGAGGTTCAAGGATTTCAGGAGTTTCCACACTTTCAACAGTTTCCAGGTTTAAAAAAAGTTTCAAGGATTTCAGGAGTTTCAATGTTTCAACAGTTTCAAGGATTTCAGGAGTTTAAAGGTTTCAACAATTTCAAGGACTTCAGGAGTTTCAAATATCTATCAAGTATTTTAACAGTTTCAAGGCCTTTTAAAGGATTTCAAGGATTTTTTTTAGCAGATTTCCACATTAGATCTGTTCCGCAGTCAATCGCAATGGCTTCAGCCATTGCAAGTTTCTAGTTATTATTATTATTTATTTTTTTAAATGTCCTATTTTGTTGTGGATATTGAATAGTATAAAATATCATTACCTTTCAATAAACATGGGATTAGCCTTCCAGGGAGGCAAAAAAAAAATATTTGTAACGACCAAAACTTGATCTGTGCAAGGTCCGCTGGATGGAGTGTATGGGCGTCTGACACGTTTCTCTCACCATAAAATAATGTAAAATACTGTGTTCCACAATCCTTTATTGCCATCTAAATAATATACCAAACTCACACAATGAACTAAGACAAAGACTGTCAAATGATGTATGCCTCCACATTACAACACCTGTGTGTAATTACTCCCTCACTAATACTTTTATGGGCCAATCTTAAACTACCAATATTAGCACTGTCACTGGGCTAACATATACAGCACAGGTCCTTCTAAAAAAATTAACATATCAAGATAAACTTCATTATTTTCTGTAATGTACTGATAAACTTCTATTTTTTCAATATTGATGATTTCGGCAAAAAAGTACAGAAAAACCAAAAATCCCTATCTAAAAAATTAGCATATTTCATCCGACCAATAAAAGAAGGGTTTTTAATACTAAAATGTCACCCTCCAAATAATGATGTTCAGTTATGCACTCAATACTTGATCAGGAATCCTTTTGTAGAAATGAATGCTTCAATACGGTGTGGCATGGAGGCAATCCGCCTGTGGCACTGCTGAGGTGTTATGGAGGCCCAGGATGCTTGCCTACCTTAAGTTCATCCACAGTGTTGGGTCTGGTGACTCTCAACTTCCTCTTCACAATATCTCAGATTCTCTATGGGGTTCAGGTCAGTAGTTGGCAGGCCAATTGAGTACAGTAATCCCACGGTCAGTAAACTATTTACCAGTGGTTTTGGCACTTTCAGCAGGTGCCAGGTCGTGCTGAAAAAGGAATTCTTCATCTCCATAAAGCTTTTCAGCAGATGGAAGGATGAAGTGCTCAAAAATCTCCTGATGGCCAGCTGCATTGACCCTGCCCTTGATAAAACACAGTGGACCACCACCAGCAGCTGACATGACACCCCAGACATCACTGACTGTGGGTGCTTGACACTGGACTTCAGGCATTTCCTTTCCCCCAGTCTTCCTCCAGACTCTGGTACCTTGATTTAATAAAAAATAAATATAAAAATAAAAGTACTTTGGACCATTGAGCAACAGTCCAGTGCTGCTTCTCTGTAGCCCAGGTCAGGTGCTTCTGCTGCTGTTTCTGTAGCCCATTTCCTGCACACGCCCGTGCACAATGGCTGTGGATGTTTCTGCTCCAGACTCAGTCCACTGCTTCCGCAAGTCCCCCAAGGTCTGGAATCGGCCCTTCTCTACCATCCTCAAGGTCCGGTCACCTCTTGGGGTTGTGCAGCGTTTTCTGATGCACTTTTTCCTTCCCACTGTGGTGCCTTGATACAGCACTCTGGGAACAGCCTATTCGCTGAGGGTGCTTGAGGGTGTCAATGATTGCCTTCTGGATACACACGTTTTATATGTATATTGCAATTAAGTATAAAAACAATGATTCTTCTAATGCATATAGTTATTTTAATTTTTAACAGGACCTAAGCCTCAGAGACCACCAGCTCCTCTATGCAAAAGATTTTGTGTTTTCTAATACACAATTTCACATTACTCTCAAAAAACATGTTATTTAAGAACATGTTATTTACCACAGCTTTAACCTTGCAGTGCATTTTTTAAAGACAAGAAGCAGACTATTTCAGTGAGACAAAACGTGAGTCATGTTTATTTTCTGTGCACAAGTTTGACTTGTTTAAAAAGGAATAAAAGCTTCGCAGGCATTTTTGGGACTTGTGTAGCACTAAACTACACACCGTTAAAACTTTGGACGTCTCGGCAGCTCCGACAGACCAGAGCACAAACGGGACTAAAGCAGAGGGAGGGTGGGGTGGGATCTGTTTGAGGGGGAAAAAAATAGCAGCAAGTCAACACATCCTCCTCAAACCGTTTGCGATAAAGTCAAGACTCAATGAAGCTGCTCTGGACAGGAGCACTCCCCTCACGCTCTCCCACCTCCACGGAAGCTCCAGGAGAATGTGTTTGACCACAGCCCCACCCCCACCGCGGGACGATGTGTGGAGATCATAGACATCTTCTCAGACCAGGGGGTGGGGCTTACAGTGTTCTCTGCCCTGGGGCCACCCAAACCCCGAAACGTTCAATGGCATGGTGCTTAGAGGAAGTGTTCTCGGAGGAGGTAGTAGGGCAGGTCAAAGATGTTGAGCTCGTGTTCGTCGTCGCTTTCATCCAGAGCCAGGTTCAGCAGCATGTTCAGCATGTCAGCGGGGTGTAAGCCCTCCATGTCCTCGTCATCGTCGCCATCTTCGTCATCAGAGCTCTGCACAGAAACGTAGTCGGCATCACAACTCAGCGTTCACGTTTTTTACACAAAGACTGGAATAAACTGGGGCTAGGTGCTGAAGCAGGCTGTATACTGATGGACAATGCTAACCCGCTAGCTCAATGAAGCCCAGACGCGCTACGGCTCTTATTGACTTGCATGTAAAAGTAAACTCCTCTAGCTAAGAAACAGTTTGTCACACTCAACATTTTGGGTTTAAAAAAAATGTGGTTTAGGGCTTTCTGTGACCTTTGTGTTTATCTTGCGAATATTGTCTTTATAAATGCAGATATGAGCCATTTAAGGAAATTCCAGCTCTACACCTAATGTGGTTGTCTATGATTTTTACATAAGCTTTGATGGATCTGGATGGGAATAGATGTATCCATTAAGGAGAGGAAAACATTGATATAACTGTATCCAGTTTGTGGAAGCTCTGCTATTGAATAGTTTAGTGAATTTACGTTTTACATGAGTGAGTGAGTGAGTGAGTGCGTGACCGTTTCCCTGTTACCATGACGTCAGCCTTCTCAGGGACCGCAAGTGTAATTAGCGCTAGCCACAGGAAATTTACCTCGGCTGCAGTAGGCCGCAGGCTCTCGTCGTGTTTGTAGAGACAGTCTGCCTTGAACGGACAGCGACCGTGGCGCAGGTAGTACCCACACGGTTTCTCACTGCGACAAGAAGATCCATGGAACACACAAGAGACATGATCACAGACTGAAGCATGATTGCAAAGCCCATTAAGTCTTTGTAGAAGTAGGAATTAGGGAGGAATGGGATTTTGTCCGCATCAGAGTTGATGTTTGAGCCCGGTTCATGAAAAAATAAAAAGGTGATGAATGGTAACTGAGGATTACAAATTGGAATAAGGCCAACAAGTAGGTAGGCATTTCATTATTGAATAAAAAGCCACATCAACGTCAACGAACAAGGCTGTTTCCCATGCACATACAGATGGACAATGCTAAAACAAACTATTACGGGTTCCCACAGTGAGGCCCACCCAACAGTACCCTCCTCAAATGCGTTTTCACCCGTGTTTCTTGGTTATGTTGTCCAGTACTTTAGTGATGTATGGGGATACACGCCTCACTCATGGTTCACATCAACTTGCAAACTAAAAGGCTTTTGACATTAAACATACTTATAAAAAAAATTGGGTACAAGTCACCTTTATGTTGTCCATTTTCGTCAAGACTGTTGCACAATTTACCTATGCGCTTTCTTGAAAGCCTCGATGAGAGCAGCCTTCTCTGGTCCTTCAACCCAGCGGCTCAGCGGCATGTAAAAGGCAGAGTAGACCCGGCACTGCGGACAGCTCCTGCAGACACACATAGCAACACAAACATCTGGTCAACAGAGATGACAGTCCAGTGGTCTTCAAACCAGAGTGGTTGCAGAGAAACAGTCCCTCCTTCCTGGTCCTTCATTGTGCTTTAGAATACACTTTGAGACCTGCAGCTCCAGGATTAGTCAATGACGTGTTACACCCTTTCAAGATATGTTTTATTGCAACTTAAAAGGAGCAGTATGTAAAAGAATCTGGCCAAAAGTTGTACTGCAACCTCTCCCACTCTCCCCAACTCAAGGTTGCCATTTATGCAAACGAATCCAGCTGGAACCATAATATCTGAAGAGTTTCGTCAACAACAAATCTATAACCAATACCTTTTTCACAAAAGCCCCAATATAAATCCTGGTTTTATTCCTTGTTTTGTCAATGATTTGAGAATCATAACGCAACCTTTTTAGTTCTGCAACCACATGTTACTTTACCAGTGAGAATAGCTTCACGAGGTGAGTTCTGGTAACCCGGATTATGGACTTTCTGATTGGCAAAACGGTGGAGGGCAGTACATCGAAATGAAAACAATAACAAGATTTAGGAACTAAAAAACTAATTTTGAAATCCAAATATTTAATATGGTGTGTAGGGGATGTTATTAAATCAGGGGACATAATTGACTAATTGGTCTAACGCAGGTCTAATGCAGGTCCTGTGACTCACTTGACGACTTTGGGGGACATGGTCTTAGTCTTCCTCCAGGTCCGGATGCAGCCCACACAGAAGATGTGTGCACAGTTGGGCAGTATGCCGAACTTTCGTTCACCGGCCTCAGGTTTCTCCCAGATCCGATCCATGCAGATGCCACAGATTATGTCACCGTGTTCCGCTGGCGCGGCCGCGGCGCCTTTCTCCCGCACGTCTGGAGTGGTGGTCTGCAGTCACGGTAGAGAGGGGGCACTTTTAATTACCTAGAACTCAATGTGCTCAACAGACACAGTACAGGAAAACACACTATGGGATAGTTCCAAGTCAGATCTGCAGACAAGGGATGTATACAGCAGTGCAACAACAAAAACTTTTGAACCATAGACCATATATTAGGAGTGGACTGTGCAAGTGTGACATCACTTTAGTGTTAGCCTTAATGCAGAAGAGGCCGATTTGAATAAGAGCTAGCTGGAGGCAATGTTGTGGTCTGATTTGATCACAGATTTTTGCTTTAAGACTAACTACATACAAAATAAGTTTAGTACCTCAGCTTTAAGTGAAATAACAAACCTTTTGTAGCCGTCTTGTCTCCTCTGAGCTAAGAGGCGGAGCTGAGGGAAACAAAAACACCAGATAAGGACATTTCAGAACACAAGCAAAGAGGCCGAGACAGACCAGAGAGAGGCAGAGACCAGAGACAGTTCAAATATGGGTAATTAATGTTATATAATGTTGTTAACCCTTTTCAATGCAAGTGAAAGGAGCCGGAGCCAGTTGGAGCAAAACTTCATTGAGCTGGCGGGTTAGCATTGTCCGTCTGCGCACAGTCTGTGGTCCTGCTTGTTTGGCTGCTCTGTAAAGATCAAGGGAGACTGTACCTGGTGAGTGTGGTGCAGCTGGGGCTGCGGTGGTCTGTCCAGTGCTTCGAGGTCCAGCAGCAGACTCTGGTGTGTGTTCAGGGATTCCTGCCCCACTGGGTCTTGTGTGGGGCCTGGCAGGTGCTGCTCTAGAGGGCCCATAGGGAGTTGCAGAATGGAGCCCAGAGGGGGTCGCAGCGTGGGGCCCAGCGTGGGGTCCAGCGTGGGGTCCAGCGTGGGGTCCGGCGTGGGGTCCGGCGTGGGGCCCGGCGTGGGGCCCGGCGTGGGGCCCGGCGTGGGGCCCAGCGTGGGGCCCAGCGGGAGGCTGTGGTATGTGGTTTGCAAAGAATCCTCCAGGTGGAAAAATATGAAGAAACCTGAGAGAACAATAAGTCATGTGCAATGAAGTGTAACTTAAGCTTTTCATGTTTTGAAAAACGTTTGTAGTAAAATCACAAGTTCCTGGCTGTAAAAGGGCTTCCATCACTAGTTTTTACTGGTGATGATGATTTAGTTTTTCATATGCATGTGTTTTTGGCTTCTGTCACATCTTTAGATTAGCTTTTTTATTTTTTTATTTTATTTGGTGTAGACAGTACATGCCGCATGGGCACTTGAGACAGAAAAGTGAAATGGAAAGCCAATCAGCTTTCAGTATGCAAAAGATAACATGTTTTCTAATAAGCTAAAGACACCATTTTGTTCTTAAAATTCAACTTTCTGTTTGGACCATGAACAAATGAATTTCAAGTGAATGTGTTGAATTAAATGTGTTATAACAGAGGAGCTTGGCATATGACTACAATCGCAACACACTTCGACTGGCTACTTGTAGCTACAACTACATAGCAAACATTGAGCAGAGGTGGTCTGAGAGACCAGAGGGAGAGACCAGAGGGAGAGACCAGAGAGAGAGACCAGAGGGAGAGACCAGAACAGAGTGTGAGTGAGTGTGAGTGTACTCACTTGCAGTTGTTGCCAAACCAGCAGGTTCCCTTTAGAAAGTGGCGACAGAGTGGAGCGCGTCTGTCGTGACGGTAACGGCAGCGCATGCCGTTAGGACAGTGGCCGTTGTGGAGGTATGATCTGCGGCGGGAGATTCAGATTCAGAAAACTTTATTGATCCCGAAGGATTATTACACAACAAATCCCAAAAGTCAAAATATTGTTTTATAGCAGAGGGCACAAAAGAATTGTAAAATATTTTTTTCCCCTCCAAGCTGGAGCATTAAAACGACACCCTGAAGGCATCATGACAAAGTGAGCGATCAGAGGATGTTTGGGCCGAGACAGAATGCATTTTATTCAGCACCTGTCCCTCCCAGAGTTTTCCTCCAGTGATTTTAGTGCACGTTTTCACAATTCTCTGCAACTTGTTTTTGTCTAGCATCAGGCTTTGGAACTGAGAAGGCTTTTTTAAATCCTCAACAGGTATACTCTCTAATGTATGGTTGTGTTAATGGCATGTGACTGAGTAGATGTATTGTGCATGTGTGATGTTGTGAGTGTGGTGTGCTTTTAACAAACAGCACAACAGAACTCTAATAAAATCAGCTCTAAAATAGTTTGCTTCTATCACGATAGTTGAATATATTTCTGGCCTCTGTTGAATTTAGATCAGCATTTTCAGACAAAAAAAGTTAAAAAATAAGACCACAGTCAATCAGCTCACAAGGATCCATCCTACACAGATAACATGTTTTCTGATGTGATGACGGCAGCATGTTGTGGTCAGTTTTGTTCACATTTTTTACAATAAGACCCTCTCCAGTAAGCTGCTTTAAGTATTGCAAAAAGTTAGGTAATCCAGCTTTAATCATAAAGTAAAAACAGCTGGTTCCGGCTGGTTATGCAAAAGTTATTCAATAGTCATTTTAGTCAAGGCCGTTGGGGGACTGTCATCTCCATGGAAACTAGTAGACTCTAAAATAACATGTGCATTTTCTGCTGTGGTAAACGTTGGGGTCTGCAGCACAAACCATGAACACTTTACATTTAGTAGGTTGTGTGTGGCGCTAAAACATGAGGAAACACCGCCAGGCTCGTCAGGTCGGTTAGTTCTGTGAGAAATACGGCCTCATAGACTGCATATGTTGCATACTCCCGTAGCCCTTTATAAACACATCCACGTTACCACAGTAGCTCCGCACTCACACAGCATGCGTGGCCGACCGTGCAAGTCCCTAGTCCCGGGGCTTCCTCCGCCGCTCAACCGCTAAATCAGTTTGCATAACCCGCCGAACACACTCGAACCCCCGTTAACACACCGAGACCTCTCCGTTACCTGCAGATGTTGCGCTGCAGGGGGTTCATGTTGTCCGCACGCCTTGGATCCATGTGCCCGCTCGCTGTTGCTCTCTGCCGGGTTGGTTGGTTCAGGTGTGGGTTGGTTCAGGTGTTTCCACGCGATGTTCAGGTGTTTGTCTAAATGACCTCCTCCTCCAATCAGCGGTGAGCAGTGAGCAGAGGTCAAACTTCTATGGTTCAAACCAATACAACGCGGTTCAAACACTCACAGCTCAATATCAGTCGTTGTCATAGGTCCCAGAACAATGCACACGTTTGTAGGTAAATATGTCTCTGTCCAGTGTCAAAACAATTATATATTCGATTCTGTACAGTTGGAACACAGGAAAAAAATAAAAACAATAACAACAAACACATAGGAGCCATTGGTCCATAGGGAGCGGCATGACCACTGTCCAGAAATGTTATTAAATGTCCCGGATCATCATTGTCCTTAGACCCTGCTGCATCTGCAAGGAAACATGTAAAATGTGAGGGACCTTGAGAGAGGGATCTGAGCCCACGGATGGACAGGATTCTAAAATAACTTTTAACTTACTTCAGAATGTATAACGTAGCACCAGAGTGTATTGGTTTATGATGATTCTTCAACTGACTGGATCTGCAATTTTTTAGATAATCTAATTATTTTAAAAACATTGTTTTGTGTAGTGTTGAAGTTAAATGTCTAGTATCCCTTTTTGATAGTGGTTTTACTATTACTATAATGATTATATGAATCATCCCATTCATAAGAGTTCTCAGTGCACATTCCAGAGGTTGGCTTGAGTCAGGATCACAGCCTCCCAGAGGATGTCTCTGTCTTCACAACAAAAGTGATTACACTGCTGTGTGCATTAGAACAGCTGGAGAAAACTGGACCACAGCATTGTAGAGTGAACGTCCCCCAGGTCGGCACCAACACATGCCACTCACGACTGGCCCCTGACCTGGCTCTTATTGGCAAGAGAGAGAATGGGTTATGTCACTGAGGAGTCTGTAAAGAGGAGTGCAGAAATCATATCTATTCTCTCCACCAAACTGCACATTCGGACGCAAACGCTGCATGAACATCTTGGTTTGGTATTTGTTGAAAAAGATACAGTAATCATTAATGAATTAATGTACATTGGTACATGTACCAGCAGTCAGCTGACTGTTGCTGCTTCACTGGGTCTCATCTGAACATCACTTCTCATCACATTTATGATTCTCATTTCTTTTTTATTATCTGACATTGTTTTTGATCTGAGTTTCACGTTAACCTCTCATCAAAATCACACTGATCTCAGAAACTCCAAAGACCTTTATTGATTAAACCTTTTGTTTTGCATGTCTCAATTTTCAAAGTTACATTTTACTTTGGCCATGACTGTTTTCAATGCAACCCCTTCAATAATTAATGTAGCTTCGTTTAATACATATTGTTTAAATTACATCACAATATAACTTCAGAAAATAAACACAATAAACACAGCCCAAAAACAAGTCCAAAATATAATTTGCGAACTTATGTCACAAAAGCGTTGCAGAAACATCTACGATGTTGTTCATGTATAACCATTTTAAATCATAAGGAATAAACACACACAAAAGAAATCCACCAGAAGATAATGTTACCTATTATAAATACACATAACAAACAATAATAATCACCCAGATAAACTATTCCCATTTCATCCCATCCCCTCAGACACTTCTGTAAACGGTTCTTCTGCGGCCCACCTCACGCAGAGAGGTGGATCCCAGGTCCGCTCTGAAGTAGATCCTCCTTGTTATGAGATGGTCCCTCTCCTGGTGTTCCTCCAGCTCTTGGATCTGCAAATGAAACGAACCTGTAGCGGTCCTCACACTTCTTTAATTGAATGTGCTCGAGCTTGTGAGTCAATATCATATATCCAGAAAATCTTTTTTTGTAGTCACCTTGAGCTATGCCAATATAGACACGTGATACCTCAGTTTAGAGCTGCACAATGGATTTTGTGTCTCTCTCTCTCTCCAGTGTCTCACGCAGTATATTTGTACAGTCACCTTCACACATTTGATATTTTGGTCTTGATTATCGATATCCTGATTATCCAGTGCTGTTACTTATGGACACGAGTTTGATCCTATAGAGTCGGACTCTGGGTTCAGCTCTGTCTCCTTCAGTTTGCTCCAGCGGCTGTGTCTTCTGACCAGGTCCTTCACAGGTTTGAATGTGTTTCTGATGATGTGACCTCTGTCTGAAAGCCTTCCCACATTTTTCACAAGGAAAGGGCTTTTCTCCCGTGTGAATTGTTTTATGTCTAATAAGATTTCCTCTTTGGGAAAACCTCTGTTTGCACAGTTTACACTCAAACGGCTTCTCTCCGGTGTGGCTCCGAAGGTGTTCTCTGCGCTGGGCTCCAGTTCTAAAGGTTTTACTGCAGTGGTCACAGGCGTAAGGCTTTTCTCCAGTATGAGTTTTCTGGTGACATTTGTAGTTGGAAAGAAAAGCAAACTTCTGTCCACAGTCCCCACAGATGAACGGCCTTTCTCCTGTGTGGACTCTGTAGTGCTCAGTGAGTCTATATAACTGTGTAAAAGTCTTTTCACACTGGTCACATCGGTGAAGTTTCTCTCCTGTGTGGGCACGCTGATGTCTTGAGAGGAGCGTTTTGAGCCTAAATGTTTTTCCACATTCGTCACACTCAAATGGCTTCTCTCCTGTGTGGATCCTCTTATGATGTAAGAGAGAAGTACCCTGTGTAAAGCTCCTACCACAAACCTCACAGCTAACAGGCTTTTCTCCAGTGTGGATGCGGTTGTGGAGCATGAGATGTTGTTTTGTAGAAAAACTGGTTCCACACAGTTCACACTCATAAGGTTTTTCTCCAGTGTGAGTTCTGTGGTGTCTCTTGAGGTGAGAAGCAGAACTCAAAGACTTTCCACAATGATCACAGATGAACCCCATTCTGTCGATGGACTTTATAGATCTGCCAAAAACACAGAAAAAGGAGTCAGATGATACTGTGCATCTTTCATACATTAAAAAAAAACCCGGGCTGATACTCTGGCTGAGGCTGAGACTCGGGTGACACAAGTCAATTTGTGATTGGATGAAAGAATAGAAACAAAGTGAGTGGGGTGTGATTAAATCTGCAAAATACACATATTTAATCCTGGTGCTATCCTCCACACCACAGTGATTCAAAAATACTCTTATCTTATCTAATGTAGATTTGTTTGTGTATGTGTGTGTGTGTGTGTGTCCACAATTTGATATTGTGTAAGAGGCACTGTAATGCAATATAATTCAATGAATGTATATAATAGCAATAGCAGCCTGGAACAGTCTCACAAATATGCAGATACATATATCTGTGTTGTTATATTATCTGATCCATGCACTATTACACTTCTGGTACATGTTAAACTGCATTTCATTGCATTGTAATGACAGTAAAATCAAGAAGTGGAGTGAGTGAAGTGAGTGAGCGGAGGCAATGCGTGGAGACAAAAATAAAATAATAGGTTTTTTTTGCATTGTATTCTTTACCGCTCTCATGGCCAAAGCCATACATTTACGCTCATTGAGCGTTAACTGTAATCAGTTTCAATGATTGTTTTGCTATTGAAAATTAATCCAAAAGAATCAACATTGAAAAATAATTTAAAAAAATCAACAAAAGAGTATATTGAAAAAGGCTTTGTTTCAAGTGTGAGGGAGTAGTAGGCATAAACCAAACGTGTTTGGAAATCAAAAGGTTAAAGGGCTAAATCTATTTTTTGAATGTGTTGAATATCCAGTACAAAACTAACTTTATCGCAGTTCTCAGTTGTGGTCATCTCGATTTGGTCTCCTGAGTGTGGCACGACCGTCGACATTACACTGAAATAAAGTATTCGGCCCCCTTGAACCTTTCAACATTTCAGGCTTCAAAAATAAAGATATAAAAATTACATTTTTTGTCAAGAATCAACAACAAGTGGGACACAATCGTGAAGTAGAACAAAATTTATTGGATAATTTAAACTTTTTTAACAAATAAAAAAACTGAAAAGTGGGGCGTGCAATATTATTCGGCCCCCTTGCGCTAATACTTTGTAGCGCCACCTTTTGCTACAATTACAGCTGCAAGTCGCTTGAGGTATGTCTCTATCAGTTTTGCACATCGAGAGACTGGAATTCTTGCCCATTCTTCCTTGCAAAACAACTCGAGCTCAGTGAGGTTGGATGGAGAGCGTTTGTGAACAGCAGTCTTCAGCTCTTTCCACAGATTCTCGATTGGATTCAGGTCTGGACTTTGACTTGGCCATTCTAACACCTGGATACGTCTATTTGTGAACCATTCCATTGTAGATTTGGCTTTATGTTTTGGATCATTGTCCTGTTGGAAGATAAATCTCCGTCCCAGTCTCAGGTCTTTTGCAGACTCCAACAGGTTTTCTTCCAGAATGGTCCTGTATTTGGCTCCATCCATCTTCCCATCAATTTTAGCCATCTTCCCTGTCCCTGCTGAAGAAAAGCAGGCCCAAACCATGATGCTGCCACCACCATGTTTGACAGTGGGGATGGTGTGTTCAGGGTGATGAGCTGTGTTGCTTTTACGCCAAACATATCGTTTTGCATTGTGGCCAAAAAGTTCGATTTTGGTTTGGACCAGAGCACCTTCTTCCACATGTTTGGTGTGTCTCCCAGGTGGTACAAACTTTAAACGAGACTTTTTATGGATATCTTTGAGAAATGGCTTTCTTCTTGCCACTCTTCCATAAAGGCCAGATTTGTGCAGTGTACGACTGATTGTTGTCCTATGGACAGACTCTCCCACCTCAGCTGTAGTTATCTGCAGTTCATCCAGAGTGATCATGGGCCTCTTGGCTGCATCTCTGATCAGTCTTCTCCTTGTTTGAGATGAAAGTTTGGAGGGACGGCCGGGTCTTGGTAGATTTGCAGTGGTCTGATACTCCTTCCATTTCAATATAATTTCTTGCACAGTGCTCCTTGAGATGTTTAAAGCTTGGGAAATCTTTTTGTATCCAAATCCGGCTTTAAACTTCTCCACAACAGTATCTCGGACCTGCCTGGT